TCGGCAAACTTGCTGAGGGTGCACTCGATGCATAGAGACAAGACAGTAGGTTGGATAGGTGTCTTTGAGGTTACTCAGAGATGAAACATAAAGATCAAGGACATAAGGGTGTTAGATCTTAAGAGAACACTGGGTGGAAAGAAAATGTATTGTTTAACCTTGGTACAAAGAATTCATGCTGAAAGCTAGAGTAAGTTTGTGTGAGGAAGCAAGCTCTTCTGTTCTTCAGTGAGGAGTCTATTGTCCACTTTCATGTCTTGTTTCTGTGTCCCGTTATAGTGTAGGTAGATATTTTATTAAGAATCTTGGGAACTTTTCTTGTTATCTCATTGATTTTCAGGACATCCACTTGAGTTTTTACGAAATCAGCCTCAGTTCCAGCAGATGAGACAAATTATTCAGCAAAATCCTTCTCTGTTACCAGCATTGCTACAGCAGATTGGACGGGAAAACCCTCAACTACTGCAGGTGAATCTTAAAACAAGAAAATAATGCTGCTAATTTTGATGTAGCATTACAAGAAAGAGATATGTTGTTAACTGGGATAGCATGTTAATAGCAGTTACAGCATTCTATTGTTGGCTTTTCAGCAGTTGTTACTGTACAGAACGTATTTTCTATTACATTAGAAATGAGTCTTGAGTCTATAAGAAATGCAAAGAGTGTCAGGAAGAGGGAAAGGTCACTGCAATTGAACTGAAACATGAAATTGCATTACTTATGGTTAGATTTAATCATTTTTCTCCATGTACTTTTTACACATTCTTTTGGCTACTTAATTCACTGAAAAGAAATATTACTACTTCCCTGTTGGCAGGCTTAAACTTTATTCCAATATATTTATTTCTTTTATTCTCCTATGCATCACAGCAAATAAGCCAACACCAGGAACATTTTATTCATATGTTGAATGAGCCAGTTCTCGAGTCCCGCCAAGGTTTAAGTGGCAGTGATGGTGGTGCCAGCACTGGAGGAGTAGCAGAAGCTGGAAATGGTCATATGAACTACATTCAAGTAACACCTCAGGAAAAAGAAGCTATAGAAAGGGTGAGCCTTTCGTCTGTGAAATTTGCTTGGCTGTTGCTTTAGGCTGTTGACTCTGGTGTGTGCCTAAGACATGCCTGAACTTAAATTGTGCTTGTTTATGCTCAGTAGTTCTGCATCATTTTTGATACTTTATATTTGATATTTCATGGCTGTTGTAGTCTTGCTTCAAATCACATCTCTTGCTTTATAGACATTGAGTTTAAAATCTCTTGAATTTGTCTTACTGAGAAGATGCAGAGCCTTTTAAGTGATCAGAGGCTGTCTGTAATAATTGATGATTGAATGAGTTTCCCTCAGGAATGGGAGGAACTCAGGAAGTAATTCCTCTTGCAAAAGCCTCGGACTGCACAGTTCTAGATCGTGCTGTGATAGGTTTCCAGGTACAAAGGTGTGTCTGCATGAGCACTGTTTGCAAAGTACTTGGATAGCAAGCTGTCATAGTTAAGTAGATTAGTTGAAGTCACTGCTTAACCCAGTTATTTGTCTATCCATGAGAATTAGTTAATTATAGCTTTCTAAAAATACAAGTAAACGTGTCTATAAAAATACACTTGGGCGGTATATGGCATTCATAAATACTGTATGTAACACTGACTAAATATGTATTTGCATAGATGGCAATGACTCTTGAGATTTTTCTTAGAACAAATTGCAAAGACTTATGTCATACTGCGGAAGTGTTTTTGAATTATCAAAGACTTTTTCAACTGGCAAAGCAAAAGATTATGTAAGGATCATCAGAAAAGAACAATTTGAATATAGGTATCAGTTCTCTAGATCTCAAGGAAAATGACAATAAGATTAATAAAACTGTTTGTCCACACATTCTTCACAGATCATCCTCTCTAGTCTGCTGCATTTCCTTTTAAAACCACTTTATGCAAAAGAGCATTACCTCTACAACTTGTTCCAAAACCCAACAGAGACCTGTATGCTTCTTCCGCTTTCCATGAAAGGCACATTTCAAGATTTAGGTGTCTTAGTATTACAGCTGACATATTCATGATGTTTGTAAGCATGAAATCAAATCTAAGAATGGTTGATAAGGGATAATAAGACATAGTTTCTCGCAGAGATTTGATCTGCCTGATATGTAAAAAGCAGTGAGGATGTCCAAATTGTTGTACATACTTGCCTTTGGCTAAAACAAAGATTGGTTTGCTGAATGTCTTTAGTGCAGACTAAACCCATTTCCCTTGGCACAGTAATAAGCTTTTCTCTAGTATTCTCATCTCCTGTTGTCATTGTGTCCCAGACATTAATTAGTTCCTTGACTTCTGAAAAACAGATTGCTCTCAACTTACTTCTTATGGCTGCAATGTGTAGTCACGTTTTTAAAAAGTGAAAGTCCACTTGGAAGAATTGAAAGTAGTGGTGTGTTGGGCTACCTACTAGTGATCACAGGCTGGGAGCTTTTTTTCCAGGCAACTTTTGTTAAAAATCCTGAGCTTTGTATCATTAATAATTTAAAATGGGCATTGTTGGAGGCTTTTTTCCTGCCTGCAGCAATGCAGTGTGCCGTTATGTCCTGACATTACTGTGACCCAAGTCTGTTTTAGTGACTTATTGTGACAGTGAAAGAAAAGTGACATGTTTTATGGTGCTTCATTACTCATTCAAATCACTTTTTCAGGTGAGAATTCTGTTTACTAAAGACAGACCTTGTTATTCTTTGCTCACTAAAGGCTTTATTGAGCTAGGCAGCAGTTTTGTTTCAAGAAGGCAGTAATTTGCTTAAGTGGCATCTCAAGATACTAGACATACAAAGAAGCTTAATATACAAAATATACTTTCTAAATGTGTTTCTTTTCTTCAGTTAAAGGCATTAGGATTTCCTGAAGGACTTGTGATACAGGCATATTTTGCTTGTGAGAAGAATGAAAACTTGGCTGCCAACTTTCTTCTACAACAGAACTTTGATGAAGACTGAGAGACATTTTTTTATTTCACACCTCACACCAGTGCATTACACTAACTTTGTTCACTGGATTGTATGGGATATTCGGGCTTATATTCATAATGCTTGATGTATGGTATAGGGGGAGGGGGGAGGAAGAGAATATAGGAAACTAAGCAGCAAGTATGTCTGCTTTAAATTAGCAGATGCAGAAAATCACACACTATAAAATAATATACAACCAAAAATCAGCTTCTGCAGATAATTAGTTCGTTCTATAAACCGTAGGTTAACTTTTTCTAGGTTTTCACTCTTACTGTACTAGTTCCAGAAATGTAGTGTAACGTTCATGTTCCTTTCTCTACTTAGTATAGGAAGTAGCCTGTGCTACCTAGATTCTACAATCTGTATTTCATGGCAATGCTGAATAGCAGCTTTGTGAAATCTAAAAGATCTGAGCAAATGTAAACATGAATGCCAAAGTATGAGTAGTTGTTGCTTTTTCAGATGTGTTCAAGTTGTGCAAGAAGCACAGCATTTTGTATAATGCTGGGTTAAAACAATGTTGGCACTTTTTTCCAAATGAAAACCCATCTCAGTTAAAAGTGTCTTGATCGTTAAGCACCCTCCCCTCCTTTGCCTCCCTGAAATGATCTGAGAAGCTATATACATACAGGTAAAATTATGATCCTGTTTACATCTTTTCTTTTGGGGAAAAATGGTAGATATCTAATTATTGTTCACTTCAATGTTATGTTGCAGTAAAAGTTTTAAAAGCAATAGATTACATGTTTGGTTTTGTTATATGTGCTCTTGAGAATTGAATATTCTTTTTCTGCCAGCAAACAAAATGCAAGCTTCCTTTTTCTCCACTACAATGAGACTTTATCAAATCAAATTTCACCTTCCTACCTTTGTTGAACCAGCTTTTACAATACAGCTGTAAACGTCTGAAGGTACTGGTGTTCTGTGGCTCTTGAGTAGATTGTACTGATCAAGCTCTTTCTGATCAGTACGGACTTTTTTGGATTTATTCACTTTATGAGGAATAGAAGTTCATAACTTGAGATATTAAGCAAACAGTCAAGTTATTCCAGCCCAAAAGAATCTGCACTCATACCTTTCTATTGAAAATAAGACCAGGTTATAATTTTGAATCTTACTTCTTGGAACCTACTTAGCATTTATTTTGTTTAGTCATTATAAAATGTAACAATCTTCCTTTTAATATATATCAACTTTTAGAGACAATTTTGCCCATTATTGCAATGCTAGCAATGAAAACAAATTCTAATTTAATCTAAAGCTATTGTATGCAACATTTTCTGCACACAGCTTGGGGATATTGTGAGGTTTTTACTGTTGTACTCCAATTACCTGGTGTGGTGTTGCAGGCCTGCCACCCCGGGCCGCTCTGAGATCTCAGGATAAGCCCCACTGTGCTGTTATCTCCGATACAAGCGCAGTTATTTGGGCGTCAGGCACTCTGGCCATACCTGGGCCATCTGCTGCCTGAATTGTCCACCAGAACGGCCCAGCATGAGCTGTGGCCAGAATGGAGAATACTGACCAAAGCAAATCATCTTGAGATCCTATCGGTAGCAATCCAAAAGCGAGACCTTTAGAGCTCTCTGAGACTGCCGTGGGCTGTGTGACCCAGTATCTCCCCTGACCTAGGATGCCTCTCAGGGTAGATTTCACCAGGATTGAAAGATCGTCTGCTGATGATTTCATGAGGGCTCAAAGGCCTGATTTCGCAAGGTTCACCAGCTGCCTGTTGGTGAATGCCAGCACATAAAAGTGAGTAATATACGAAACTCATGAAAAGGGAAATTTTGATCATAGATTAACATGTGTTTGTGTGTGTGTGTGTGTGTGCGCACATGTGCAATTGGTTCAGAACTATTTGTCTATCTGTGTATGTGTGTGTGTGCAATTTGGTTCAGAACTATTTGCCTACCTGTCTGTACGTGTGATTTGATTTAACCCCTATCTGTGTGTGCAACCCTGCTGTAAGATTCGGGTGACCCTTGCCATTTTCGATTCTTTAACTAAGTCGCTATTTTGATTGTAACAAATTCCATTGAATCATTCTGTTAAATTGGCTGATGATTAAGTGCTGTTAATAATTACACAACCTAATATTGTGATCTATCTCAAATATTAATAAATCCTAAATTGCTGCTAAACCGAAGCCCTGAACAAAATCTCATTTCGTGACACTTGGATTACAAATTTATCTTCACGGTAACCAAGAAAATATTCTAAGTGGTACAGCACTGAGCTGTTGTATCACTAATGATATTAATGATTTAGTGATACAATTAAAAATGATTTTCCGCTTAGGTGGCATATCAGTTAACTACTTAAGTACTACTTAAGCTCAAAGTACAAGTCAAATATCTTGAGAAAAGACAGCGAGAAAGACTGAAGTGTTTGTTTTTGTATTTTGTTTCTTCATTGGTTGTAAAATAATTATCTGCACTAAATAGTAAAATATTTTAAAGCCTTTTACTTTCTGTCTTTAGACATCTGTGATGTTTTTCCAGATAGTGTGTTTTTTAATTATTCAGATTTTTTTCTTTTAAAATTTCATAGGTGTATAATGTCTAAGTGATTAGTAGCACAACCTAAATCTATCAGTAGGAGGTGTGATATTGCTAAATAGAAAATAAGTCTTTCATAATGCTCTCAGTTTAGAGAAGTAAACGTTAATACCTGAGTCAGCCAGTAGACTTCAGCTAAATAGTATTCTCAGTATGTTTATGGACTGAAAGAGATGGATTTTGACTTAATGGTCTGCAGGCAAAAAGGGGCTCTTTGTTACCTGTGAAAGGACCAGCTGCCAGGTACTTGAAAAGTACCAAATTAATACGAGGACTTCTTGAATGTACTTTACTACATAGCTAATACCTAACCAGGACATAAGCTTTAAGTTTGTGGGAGTATTCTGTACTGATCAAACTGCTGTCAGAAATAGCCATTCCTTCCCTAGGAGGATGGAGAGTAAAACAAGAATGTCTGTCGGTGTTTCAGTCTACTCCCTCCAATTTTGATTCTGAAATGTTTGCTTGTTATAAATGTATTTGAATTAAAGATTGTTGAGCTTGGTCTTTGTAAAAAAGCTAGTAGCTTTGTTCATTTGTAACTTTGTATGCTGAGTGACTGAGGGTTTTATAGCTGCTGTGGTTGAAGCCTTACTAGTAATTCTGTTCCCATTTTTCAGCAGTGGAACAGGTGTTTATGTGACTTCAGATGAACAACAGGTGTCTTACCTTATATGCTAGCAAAAACTGTTATCTGTTCAATAGTGGGATACTTGCCAGGGAGAATCATGTATCTCTCTGTAGTGGCTGCCAAAAGGGAGAAATATACGGAACGCATATGATGTTAAGAAGGTAAGTGTGCCCTGAACAAGTTGCCTAAGTTGCCTAGGTATGCTATGCCTTGTTTTGTACCAAGTACTACCAGGAGTTGTCTGCACAGAGTGCTTTCCAGCTTGTTTGCTGCAGATCTCTAAGGGATTTGGGGAGCAGTGTCCTCAGGGCTTTCTGAACAGTAGCTCAGAAAATGAAGTATTGCCTCCTAAGTTTTTTGTACTGGAGTCCTTACCTTTGTTGTAAAATTTCTAAGTATCTGTTTAGTGAAAAACTAATGATGTATTTTTAATTGGGATTAAAAAAATGACTCTGAAGTCATACTAATTGTGTAGTTCTCTATCCTTATGTCCTCTGTACAGCTGCATTTTAATGCTATGGTTCATTAACTTTGTCCAGAATCCTCTTATGAATCTATCTAAAACCCAAGAGATTGGATTGATGATATGCTTTATTCTTACCTACACACTAAGAGAACTTTTTAGGAATGTGAGATACTCATTCATGAAGTCAAACTGTGGCTCTGATTTTCAAGTGTCAGATTCAGCTTTACTTTAAGAATATACATGAATAAATGAAACTGGGAGACACAAAGCCAAGTGCTCAAATAATGTAAGCAGATCTGTCACCTGTGGTTTCACTGGATATTTCAGTTGGTTTTGCAGAGATTTGGAGGCAGGCATGTTAATGTTTAAATTTTTTTGCTGATGTATTTCAAGCGCACTCTGTGCACAAAACTAATCTAGAGTTTCTGCACTTGAAACAATAACATGGGAGTGAAAAGAGAACATTTTTATCAATAACATTTTTAGTTGTTCTTCCTTGCCTGGCTTGGGATGTCAACTAAGTGTTCAACACACTATCTTTTGAAAAACATTATTTTGAAACTATAGATATGTGTTTGTGAAGGCACAAATTACAAAATTTTGTGACTTCACTAAACTGTCCAGAAAAGTAGTGTTACTCCACCTGTGATGAAATTATGTACAGGAATAATTTAATTATTACATTACCACAAAATACATGATCTGTATGATACGTATTATCAGTAAAAACTGATCAGCATTGCTGATGGTTGGAATCTACAGCTGCAGGCTGTAGCTGATGCTGCTGACTTCTAATTGTCAAGTGCCAGTGCTGTATTTATATATCACCTCATAGAATATATGACCTGTGAGGAGAAAAGACAACAATCTTCTTGGTTCTTGTTAGCACTCCTTTCCTCTTTTCTGATAGTGAGAAATTGGCTAGGCAAGAAAAATTAGTATTAATAACACACAGTTTAAGTCCAGTTCTAATCAAAGCACATTTTATGAATACAGTAGCATCTGTCACATTTCCTGTCCAGACTGCAATGAAATTAATAAAGGCATATGCATATTCTTCAGTAATAGTAGTAGTCTGGAAAAACAGTAGTAGACTCTGAAGATACTTATCACCACTTCATCCCTTTGCTTCAGCATTTTCCTCAGTGAACTCTTGTAAACCAATATTTACTATATGCTTTTGTTTGCTGAAAGTCTAGTGCTAAAAATAGTACTTAAGTGAACATTTTGTGTTGTGTATACCTATGCAGCTGTGCCTAGACCTAGAATGCAAAGTTTCTTTTGCTTTCAAAATAGGTACCTTTCTATTTCGATATGGCTCAACATTAATGTGAATACTGTGTGCTGCAGAGGGCAAGGAGCAACATCCTTGAAATTCTTGTTGCCTGAGATAGGGATTGTAGATGGGATAGACAAGGAGTAACCAGATATTCCAGCAGGCATCCCAGGGGAAGGATTCTTTGCTGTCCTTGTAATGTGAAGCATCTGTCTCTGAATGTGTAGCTACCAAAGATGAAAAAAAGGGGCAATGTCTCCCAAGTACAGCAGTATCTGTAGAATCAGTGAAAATCTTGTAAATTCAGGTACATATTTTTAAGCATATATTTTAATTAAGCATACTCCTTCCCTCCCCCACCCCCTTGTCTTTACCCTAAATC